AGAGAGAGAACTATTGTGTGATTGCTTCTTGAGTGCCCCCTATCAGGGACCTGGCCTGCAACCCAGGCATGTGCCCTGACTGGGAATTGAACCGGCGACCCTTTGGTTTGTAGGCTGGGGCTCAGTCCACTGAGCCACTCCAGGCAGGGCTGGAATATGCCAGTTTTAATGCAAATTTATTCAAGAACCATCTAGCAGGTGCCATGTATTGTGTTAGGCCCTAGGGATACATAATGAGAAAAAAACGATTGTCTGTGTCCTCAAAGAGCTTATAATCTTATTCAGGGGCTGAGACACCACTCAAGGAAGCCCCCAAATCCATATAAAAATGCTCCAGGTTTGCGCTGCAGAGGGGAGGGTAGTGATGCTCTGCGGGCCTGGGACTGGGACAGCACGTCTGACCAATTGGAGGGAAAAGTTGGACTGAGTTAGACAAAGAGGAAGCAGGGAGCATTCCAGGCAGAGGGAATGGCGAGTTCAAAGGCTGCTCGGGGAGGGACCGAACCAGAATGCGGTGCCGTGCAGAGCAGGCCATTTGGCCTTGTCGTCCGCATTAAGATTTTTGTCTTGATTCCAAGAGCAGTGGGGATTCATTGAAGGGCTTAAGTGGGGAGTGACTTGGTCAGATTTGCATCTTTAAAAGATCACTCCAGCTGTGGCTTGGAGAACAGATTGGAGGGGAGCCAGAGGGAGTGTGGGGAGCCTGGGTCGGGCCTGCGGGGCTCTGGGTGCAATGGCGGGCGCAGGCACGCAGCCGCTGGCCTGCAGGTCGGGGTGTCTGGCCTGGACAGCGGGCCTGGCCACATAGGGAAATTCCTTTCCTCAGTTGTCTGGTCTGACTCTGCACACACTCAGCACCCTGGAGTCGGCCAGGCTGGTTTCAAAGGACAGAGTGCTGCAGCGTACCGGCCCCCAGCCCAGAGGCCTGGCTCAGTCACGGACAGAGTGTGCATGTTTATTTTCTGGAGACTCGGCAGGAAGGGGTTTGGAGGGCGGCCGAGCCTCCCCACTGCTGCAGCCGGCCTGGGCTGCTGTGCGAGTGTTCTGGTCCGTCAGCGAAACAGCACCGGAACTGCTGGAGCTCCAGGGCAAGGCATGCTCGTGAGGAGGCGTGTGTGCCTCCCCAGAACACCCTGTGGGGGTCCCGAGGTGTTTATTCCTGCAGTTCCAGGAAATTCGAGGGTTTCTTTTGGTTTATCACAAACACCCAGATGCTGGTGATGAATCTTGTTTCCTGAGAGGATCCAAGAAATCCTGTGTGTTTTTGCTTTTTCCTCAGTCACTTTGCTTTAGAGGGTTTTCTCCGAAATCTTTTACTACCAAGGTTTCCCTTTCGGGTTTGGACCACATAGGAACTGATGGAAATCAGGGCCATTTGCCACCCTCGTGCATTTCTTCCTGGGGGACAAGAGTGGGTGCAGACCCATCACTCTTGGAAGAGAGGGCACCATCGTAGGGCGTCTTCCCTGGGCCTTGGCATCCGGGGGCCTGTAGGCCTGAGTAGCCTTCTCACTCAGCATGGCCCTGGCAGGCCAGCCCCAGCCCCAGCTGAGCCTGGGGCACCGTGCCTCCTGGGGCACCGTGCCTCCTGGTGTTTCCTCCTTGAGGAAAATACCACCCCCACCACCGCCGCCACCACCACCAACAGTACAAGTAGTACAAGTGATTGCAGTAGGTTGTACTGATAGAGAGCCCTGCTCTTGGTTGCTTTAAAAGTATTAAGTCATTTAAACTCCAGCTTGTGTCAAACAGGTAGGTAATACCATTGCCCTCGGTTTATGAATTGAGAAACTGAGACACAGAGAAGTTAAGCTCTGTGCCTAAGGTCACACGGTCAGTAATGGTGGAGCAAGAATTTGAGGCTGGGCAACTTAGTTCCGAGGTGCAAGCTCTTAGCCGCAAGAACGCACTTTGCTCGGCTGGCTGGGAAGCTCCCCCGATCTCGCTGCCTAGGCAGAGCACACAGTCTTATATCAGGGCCCCGGTGTTTCCGATCTGAAGCATCCACCTGCTTTCTCAGCTCCCCCCAACGTGTGAGCACCCGGGGAGAGGGGCGGGGTCGACAGAGCCCATCAACCTGAGGTACCACGACGCAGTGGAATCACACCGGCCTGGTTTTGACTCTGGCCCACCACTTCTTAGCTGTGTGGCACTGGGAAAATTATTTCATCAGTCTGTGCCTTAGTTTCCTCACCAGCAAGATGGAGAGACCATGACTCACCTTGTAAGTTACCGTGAAGGTGCAATGAGAGGGAGCGTGCTTGGCGTTAGGCTCAGAGCCTGCACACAGTAGGCGCCCAATAAGAAGTGGAAGGTGGGCTCTGGTGGCAAGAAGCGCAGGGTCTGGGGTTCTTCCTGAGGAACGAGGCTGGGAATTGCCCCAGAGGACCCCTGACTTGGCTGCTCTGGCTGCGGAGGTCCTAAGGTCACAGCAGCTTCTTCCATTTTTCCTAGACGGCTTCTCACGGAGGGGGATCGCCATGGCAACACACAAGCAACACCTGTTGGAGGAATCAGGTGTTGGAGAAAAATGACCTCCTTGCCTCATTCCAGCAGCCTCTGCTGAGGGGTGAGGGGAAGTGGCTGGCCCAGGTTGGAAACCCGATCCTGGTGGGCCTCCCTGCAGAGGGGGAGAGGGTCGGCTACCCGGTGGAGGTCATTTTCTTAGCCTAAGTGCTGATAATGCCTCCGTAAGTGTGATAATGCCTCTTCAAGCAGCCGCCCTCAGGCCCTCCTGAGAGGAGGCACTCAGCCCCGGGGTTAGAGAGCAAGGCTGACGGGCAGGCTGGGGGCTGGGGCGGCTTGGGCCTCCGAGGGCCTTCTTGCCGAGAAGCCACCAGCAGGGCCTCCCGAGAGACTGTATCTGCTTTGCTGTGTGCACATCGTCCTCTTCTGCCAGCCTGTCCCAGAAAAGTATGAGAAAGAAAGAAAGTCACCTCAAGTCCGGCTGTGCACCAGCTACAGGCGTTAACACGTGGCACATAGCCCGCTGTGAGCTCGCCCTGTGCGCACCTGTGTGGATGTGTGTGTGCATTTTTACATAGGCGGGCTCAGAGGATACAAGTGTCTTAGAATCTTTTTCCACGCACTGTGCCAGGGACGGCTTGCCTCGTCCACACGAGTGGTCTGTAGCATTTTAAGTGGCTGCATAGTATGCAGTTGCATGGACGCACTGAAAGTCAGCAAGGCATTGCTCCATCGGTTCCATTTAAGTCAAGCATTTTGCTCTTAGAGTCAGTGCTGACCTATCTTTACCGTTGACAAGTTAAATCAACCAACAATTCCTTGTGGTCTGGGGTTTGGGGTTGAAAGTTCCAGTCTCATTGCAGAAGGAGCAGGTTGGGTGCAGCACAAGTGAAGCACAGGGGCGGCTGTTCTAGGGAAGAACGTGGGGTTCATGAAAAGAGGCTTTTACATTGGAAGGAGCTGTCCCGCGGGGAGAGGCACCTTTCAGCATTTAGGACGGGTAGCAATTCAGTCTGGGGCTCTCACCAGTGGCCTCGTTACCTCGGAGAGGCCTCAGACCCCTCTGGGAGATCCTGCTAGAAAGGAGACTGGAGCAGAGAATGAGTTTTTCCAGCTGCTCCCGAGGATCAAGAGCCAGGTGCAGGAGGAAGGGCAGAGAGAGCCACGAGCTGAATGAATCATTGGCTTGTCAGCTTGGGGAGGCAGCCCGGCCCGGGGGGAGAGGCCTGGGCCCCCATCTCTGCTCTGCCATTTACCAGCTGCTGGCTTGGGGAAGGCACCTCATTTCTCCGGGCCTCTCTTCCCTCGTCTAGAAGATGGGCACAGCGACTGCCTCCCAGCCTGTGTTTCTGGAGTGCGTGGAAACTCACGACCGATGTTGTTCTCAGCGGATGCAATCCTGGAACATCATCTAGTCCAAACATACTTCCGAAACACTTTTAGGAAAGAAAGCTTGCAGTTCTTCAGAGTGGTTTGGGCTCGGGTTGTCCAAAGTGGGCAAGTGTGGGGCTGGGCTGCAGGTGAACATGGTGTGGCTACAGTTAGGTTGCTGCCAGGCACGTGGCGACAATGACAGGGGTGAGAAGGGAGGAAGCGTCTTGGCTGTGAACTTGGAGCTGTGCAGACAGGTTAGATGTGTAGGTGACAGCTAGGTTTGGGGCGAGGCCCCGGGTGAGATTCATTTTGCTGTGTGTGGCTCCATGGAAGAACTTGGCAGGGGGTGGGGGTGCAGTGCCTGGCTGCTGGAGGGGCTTGTCTTTCTGAGGTGTGCCAGCTCCCTGCAAAGCGGACTGTCCCGGCAGGGGCTGAGTGAGTATCCTAGGAGGCTGGCTGGGGAGGTGGGACCAGACAGCCTGTAAGTGGGGTCTAAGGTGCCCAGGGCAGGACTGGGGAGGGCTGAGGAGAAACACGTGGGTCTTGGAAGGGAGGAAGGGCCAGAGGCTGGGGTGGTGTGAGGATAGGAGCCATTGCCACTGCAGGCCTGGCCCTGGGGCCAGACAGAGGACTCCCTCCCCTCTTTAGCCCTGTCCGTCAGTCCTCCCACACTGCCCCCCTCCTTCCCTTGCTATGGGACTGACCTCACGGCGGGCTCCTGCCCAGAGACCTCCCTGGCTCCCTGCCTCTCCTCTGCTTGCTCTCTCAGACCTCTGTGATCTGGACCCACCTTTCCCTGACCCTGCTCCCCCTGGCTTCCCACTCTTAGCCTGTCCCCTCCCCCAGCCCACAGATTTGCTGGGTGTTCTTCCCTGGACTGGCCCCTCCAGCCCTCCTGCTGTGCAGACCTCCCATGTCCGTTAGGTCTCAGCTGGAGCCCCACTTCCTCAGTTCCCCTGAACCACAGGGCCCATGGTCGCTCTCCTGTTCAGAACACGGACAGCTCGTGGAAGCAGTGCCTCCGGATGACAGCAACAGTGTCTGCAAGTTGGTCAAGATGACAGGCTTGAGCCCGGCAGAGAGGGAGCCTGGAGCCTCGCCGCTGGTCTGGGGCCCACCCTGTACCTCTCACCATGTCCTTCTCTCCTTTCTTCCACCAGGGAGCTCAACGGCAACAACATCACTCGGATCCATAAGAATGACTTTGCAGGGCTCAAGCAGCTGCGAGTGCTGTGAGTATGAGATGCTGTTCCTGCTCATAACCTCCCTTCTGGCCGCATCTTAACAATGGCCTGTGGGTCCCAGGCAGAGCCCTGGCTGTGGGCTTTAGGGTTGTAGGGTTGTAGGGTTGTAGGGTTGTAGGCAGGCTGTGGAGTCAGTCTTGGGACACCCTGGGTAGGCGGTGGGATGGAAGTGGTGGTGAGCCCTGACCCAGAGCAGCCCCTGCCTCCAGTGTGGCTGAAGAATTGGGGGTGGCAGCGTCACCACCGGTGGTGCCACCGGGCAGGACCTGGGCTGGGTGCGTGGGGCTGTCCTGTCCACTGGTTGTCTCCTGGGGTGACTGAAGACCAAGTGAATCTTTAGATGTGTCTTAGTTTGCCCAGTCTGCTGTAACAAAGTACTACGGAAATTTATTTTCTCTCAGTGCCGGAGGCCAGAAATCTAAGGTCAAGGTGCCATTGTGGAGGGTTTGTGGAGAGACCCCTCCTCCCAGCCACCTTCTTGCTGTGTCCACACACGGTCTTCTCTCTGGGTGTGCACAGAGAGAGGTCTCTGGTGTCTCTTCGTATGAGGACACCAGTCCCGTCAGATCAGGGCCCGTCCGTATGACCTCACTGAGCCTTAAGTACTTCCTTCCCTAAAGGCCCTGTCCCCAGATACAGTCACATCCGGGGTTAGCGCTTCAGCACACTCATATCTGGGGGGCACCGTCCAGTCTACAGCAGCCTCTGCCGTTCCTGTGAACCTGTGCCCCAGAAGACTCCCCAGCAGGGGGCTGTCCCCAGCCTGAGAGGGTAGGTGAGTGGGAGCAGCTGAGGACAGAGGTGACTTCCCTGGGTTGCCTGACAGTGGCAGATACTGGAGGTAGTGGGCGTGGCCCTACAGGGACAGGAGCCCTCCCCTGCACATCTGATGTCATGCTGGGCGGGGCTGAGGGGCAAGTGGGTGTTGACCCCTTCGTCTCTCCTCTGCTGATCTCGAGGCAGACGCAGCCGGCCATACACACGTTCTGCTGCGTTCAAGGCCAGACAGCCGTGGGGTCCCTCACCCCCTCTCCCCAGGGTAGCACAAGGGTCTTGGGGCCTCAGTTCTCTCAGAACTAATGGCTTTGCATCTCCAGGTCTTTGGGGAAGCGGGGGACCTTGTGGCCCATCCTCTCTGGGGTCATACCTGTCAGTCTGTTGGTCGCAGGGCAGAGGTCCCTGCTGCTCCAGAACCCGCTGATCTCCGACCTCTCCCCAGGCTCCAGGACTCTCCCCTGGGCCCGAGGGAGCCCTCCCCCAACCCCCCCACCCCCCCGACCCAGGTCTACAGTGGGCGCTCCTCAGTAGTGTAGGCCTTTGGAAACCAGGTGGAGAAAAAGAAGTGCGTGGTGGCAGCTCCTGCCCCCTGTCCTGCCTGAAACCTCGTCTGAGGTCTGCGCGGGAACACGCAGCCACCTGCTTGAGAGTGGAGAAGGGAAAGTGCAGGGAGAAGAACATGCTTGACAGTCTGAAATATCACCATGCAACAGGCGATCTGTGGGGAAACCACTGCCCGCCAGCTGGACACTCTGGGTTTCAGGATGCACTGGCGATGAGGAGGCACAGAGCCCCACGGAGCCAGGTGGTTCAGCTGGCAGCAGCTGGGGCCAGGCAGAGTGGGGGTGTAGGTGGAGGGCATGTCGTCTGCCAACTGCAGAGTGTGCTGCATGTGTGGGCTTTGCCCAGTTGGCACAGGCTCCCCTCCCCCCTGCTACCGGGCCATTCTGTCTGCCCTGCCCCTTGGAAACTCGCCCTCTGGGCCAAAGGGGGACCCGTGTGCCAGCAGCCCAGCACCAGCCCCTGCTGCCTGCTTCCTGGGTCCGGGCTTCCCCGAGTGTGTCTTGAAGCAATGACCTGGTGCTCTGGTGTCCTATGGCCTTCTGCCATGCAGGTGGCTTCAGAGGGATTGGCATGGGGCTGGAACTGGAAGCGCATCTTGCTGCCAGGGCAGGGTGGGCTGAGGAGCCCCAGTCGGGAATCTGCAAGGTTGTGAGGAGATTTTGTGGGCTCGGGCCAGACCTCGGGTCTGCACGCGTCTGGGGCATGGCTCCCCATCCGCTCCCTCGTGCCAGCTGTTTCCAGGAGTCCTGGTCCGGCATCCTGCAGCTGTCTTCGTCTCTGTGCTTCCCCAGGCAGCTGATGGAGAACCAGATTGGAGTGGTCGAACGGGGGGCTTTCGACGACATGAAGGAGCTGGAGCGGCTGTAAGTACAGTGGGTGCAGGCTCAGGAGGGCGGTGGGGACTGGCCCTGTGGGGCCAGGAGCAGGCTGAGCCTGGCAGCAAGGGCAGGGGCCAGGGGCGTGGCTCAAGGGACGGGCCTGCACACCCTGCCTGCCTCCCGCCTGCTGACCAGCGCCAGGGGCAGTGGCTGCCGTGGACGTGGTCGCAGCCTCATCATGAGATCATGGCAGAGAGAAAGCCGGAGACTGTCCTCACCCCACCTCTACAGGCAGCTGTTTTTACTGTTCCCCTTGAAAATGCATTACGGCAAAAAATCCACACAGTCCAGAGGAGCTGAGATTTCTTCCTATAATCTCACACCCCAGGTGTAACCACCGTTCACTGATTCACGTGGCCTTGAGGAAGCAGTGGTGCGTGGAGGGGACCTTTTTTGCTTTCCAGATGGGCAATGACAGAAAAAAAAAGGCCCCTGGTATGGGTAAGGTGGGGGATGGGCACGCACGTTCAGGGTGGTCACCCATCTCGTTTTTCTGCACAATGTTGGGATGTCGGTGTCAAGAACTGCAAGGTTCATGCCTTTTGACCCAGAAATAATGAGAGACGTGACGAAAAAATGTATCTATTGGGCTATTCATCGCAGACTATTTAAGTACAATAAAAACTGGGGACAGTCATGCTGGTGGAGATCTAAGCTGTGCAGTCACACTTTGGAAGAACAGCGAAGGCCATGGGAATACACACACGATATCACGTGAAGTGGACGAGGCAGGAGGTGATGATTGTGTAAATAAAGTCACCTTGCGCGTGGACAGAATGCAGGAGGAGGGAAATAATTGGGAATATTAACTCCCATTGCACTGAATGGCGGGATAACAGGTGACTGATTCTGTTCTGTGTGCTTGTACTTCTTTATGGATTTTCCTGAAATGAGTTTATGATTCTAGCTGCTACTGGTCGCCTCACTCTGTGCCGGGCACCAAGATTAGCTCTTTCCCACCCCTCCCCCTGTGTCTCATTTAGTCCTTGAAGCAGCCTCGGGTCAGTGTTGTCTTACAGGTGGGACAGGGGTGCCCAGAAGCTAAGGCACTTGCCTTATGAAGTGATGATTAAGTGATTATGGGCAGGAGAGGGGATTAGAACCCGGACCATCTTGCCTCCAAAGCCTGAGCTCTTAATGGCTGTGTCCTAATACCTCGCTTTTCTCTTTTACATCAAAGAAAATAAAGTATTAAATAGAAGGGGAAGGCCGTGGTCATCTCGTTGCCTTCCTGCGGCCTGGAGAAACGTCAAGGTGATCTTTCTTTGACCTTCCTCATCTGGCCTAAAACGGAGTGATAAGGAGCCCCCAGCAAAACACGTGTTTAATCCTGTGTGTTTTCTCTGAGAGGCTCAGGACAGAACTCGAGACCTGGCTCTGAGGGGCTCATTTGGACCCAGCCCAGTTCCGGCTCCAGCTCCAGCTCCATCTCCGGGACTGCGCTGCCCTGGAGTGGGAGAGAAGGCGGGGGGTGGGGTTCAGACACCCCACTGGCCCACATCACGCCTGCTCCTGCCACCAAGGCTGAGCGGGGCCCTCCTTTTGGAGTCAGGACGCATCACTGTAGACTTTGTCTCTCTGTCCTCTTCCAGTTCCTTCCTTTGCGACTGCTCCGTCCCTGGGGGTGTCCACGCTCCCTGCGGATGCCTGGCAGCCCCTCTGACTTGTGGGAGACCAGGGGTAAATCGGTTAACCATCAGCGTGGGGTGAAGTGGGGAGTCACCAACACCACACATACTCTACACACTTCACTTGAAGTTAAAACATACAAGTGAACACTTATTGACCTTCTCCCCCGCCACCTTTCCCCCCCAAGAACTTTCTTTTTATTGTGAGTTGCTGATTGGAGTTCCGTATTGTTTTCCTCACCGAAACTGCACACACGTGTATCCCTTTTTCACTATTTCTGGTTTTGGTTTCGTTAAGGTGGAGTGAGATTTTTGAAGGGCCTTTGGAAGACATCTGAGTGGAGGATTCTGAATTTCCTTTATGATCCTCGCCCCGCTCCCGTCTTTTACATAATCCAACAGCCCTTTCATTAGCAGCTCTCCTTTTATCGACTCTTTCCAGAGCATTCAGCCTAGTCTTCAGGGAGATGACTCTCTCTTTCACACTGGCATTTTGTTTGTTTATGTAACAACTAATTAACTTACGTAATGATAATTGTAAGTACCTCTGGCTAAACAGGCTTGGGGACAGACTTGGCTGGCTCCTGTAAGCAGTCGCAAACCCGTGTGCGGGGCAGCAGTGAGCGCGGTCGGGGCGGTGAGGGTGGGCTGCCATTGGCGTCAGTCCTCTGTCCGTCAGATGACTGGGGAGTGGAGCGCTTGGTCCCCCGAGGGCTGAGGGGGGTCGATGTGTAATGCGGAGCCAGCCAGGATGGGGAGCGGGGAAAGGCAGGCTGCAGAACTCCACCACGACTTCCCAGAGGTGACTTGGGGAGTCACTCACTTGGGGAAGTCCCAGTTCCCCCAGCCATCCCAGAGACAGTGCCACACATCCCGAGCCTCTAGTAAAGCCACGCGCTGTGGCGAGATGGTGGTGGTGAGGGCTGCCCTGAGGGGTGGTTGTGAGGAGGAGAGGGGACGGTGTATGCGTGGATGTGAGGCCTTGTCACACTCACGAGGAAGGAACCCACCTTCTTATTCTGCCTTCCCTGCATCGGGAAGACGCAGAGCATCTGCTCTGGTGCCGGGCACACAGTGAGGGCTCCTCGGGACCGGTGGCCTCTGGGCCGTCATGTTCTGCAGCAACCTGCAGGCCCGTCTGCGTGCGGGGTCCCTCCTTCGGGGTCCTTTGGTTTCCCACTTTAACTGGCTGTTGGGTCCCTTTTCCTTTTAAGTGTTTTTCAGAAACTGGAGCCAGAAAAATGAAACCATCTTGGGGAAAACAAAACAAAACCCAGTGATTACCAGGCAGTGCAAACACAGGATTAATTTATTGGATGAAGTTAAGGAACTTGAAGCCATCTGAAGTTTCCTCCTGTTGCTGTAACGATTCTTTGGGTGTTCCCCCCCACCCCCCCATGGCAGCAGTGTTTCCCTAGGAGCTGGTCCTTCAGATAACACTCCTCGCAATGGACTAATGGTCTGTCCCGTGCTGGGGAGTGGTACCTTTCTCACATAGCAGATGAAAGGTGACCCACCTCCTAGGAGGTAGAGTAACCACAGACAGTTACTGCCGGCCACACATTTCTTTCTCTCTCCCGGCAAAAGAAAGCTCTTGCCCAGCTGGGTGATCACCATCTACGACTGTTGAAGGGGAGGCTGTGTGAAACCCAGGCCGTGCCATAGCTGGAGGGCAGGGCCACATTTTACACCATTGTGTCGCCAACCTGGACCAGAAAACAGGTCACCTGGGGACCTTGCTGATTCAGCAGGTCTGGGGTAGAGCCTAGGGTCCTGAGGCTCTTACCAGCTCCTAGGCGATGCCCTGCAGGTGGTCCATGGAGCTCTGTGTGAGCACTGAGGTTTTGTAGTTTATAGGTGTCACACGCCCCGATGGGCTGGACTCCTGCCCTGCAGTGTCAGAGGATCAGTTGCCTGATGGTCACGGGGGTGCGAAGTTCAGCTCGGGGAATATCGCGATAATATAGTGATGACGGTGTACGTCTGTAGTGACTAGACTTATTGGAGTGATCGCCTGTGTAAGCTACATAAATGTCTACTCACTGTGTTGTACACCTGAAACTAATATAACATTGTAGGTCAACTGCAATAAAAAAAAATTAGGAAAAGAAAAGAGTGCTAGTTGCCTAAGGCGGCCAGAGACGTCTGGGTGAGCTTTGCTGTGTTCCCAGGCCGAGTCCTGGTCCTTCCTGCACCCAGTCTCCTCAATGGGCCGCACCCAGAGGAGATTCTGCCCCTGAAATCCACCCCTGCCCATGTCTGTGATGATGAAAAGCTGTCTGTCCGCCAGCAGAGGAGTTGAACCCGATGAACATGCTATTTGGTCACTGGAGATAAAGGGGGTTGTTCCCTATTGCTTGGCATGGGAAGACAGCCACAGATTTTTGAGTCAGAAAAATGCAGGTGGCTGAATAGTTTTTCTTCTATTACTTGAGGCTTTAAAAAAAAGACATTAAGCTTGCATTTCCATAAATAATTTTTTAAAAGATTTTATTTATTTATTTTTAGAGAGTGAAGGGAGGGAGATAGAGAAAGAGAGAGAAACATCAGTGTGCGGTTGCTGGGGGTCATGGCCTGCAACCCAGGCATGTACCCTGATTGGGAATCGAACCTGCAACACTTTGGTTCACAGCCCGCGCTCAATGCACTGAGCTACGCCAGCCAGGGTCATAAATAATTTTTAAAAAAATCAATAAAGGTATTTTTGTTTTGAAAAAAGACCTGAAGCAAACAGCAAAAGTTAAGCTGCCACAGAGGCAAGTGTGGATGACAGAGCCCAGCAATAGAGAACCAAAACCACACGGCCGGTCCTACTCCACGAGGATACAGCTCACATTTCCCGTGTGGTCAGATACCCACTCGTGGACCGCGGCAGATCGGAGCCAGTGCCAGTCCGTCATGAGCGTCTTGCAGGCGTCAGTGAAGATGCCGAGGGGCATGGGAGGAAATGACAGAAGGGAAGATGTGTATTTACTGACTGCCCAGTCCATGGAACGTCCTTGGGAAGGGACTTCCATAATTTTTTTGCTCTTATTCTCCCCAAGTGTTGGATGGCGGAATCCCCACTTTACAGATGAGGAACTGAGGCCCAAAGGACTTGATTTCCTTGGGGTGACACAGGGACCCTGTTAAGATCTGAACCCTGAGCTCTCTGACTCTGAATCCAGTGCTTTCTGAAAAGTCCTTTGGATTTCCTGGATTTCCGAGGCAATTTCCAACTCCTCCTGTCTTCTCTCTTATAGGCGACTGAACCGGAACCAGCTGCACGCACTCCCAGAACTGCTGTTCCAGAACACCCAGGCGCTGTCGAGGCTGTGAGTGCTGCTCTGTGGCCGGAGAGCTTTCTGTGTGTCCTCACCCCTCGCCCTCGCCCTCGACAGCGGGAGGGGCTGTGTGTGGTCAGTGGGGCACGAACTTTCCCGTGACCCCCGTGTTCCTCCCTGGGGAGGAACTGCTCGGGGTTACACAGGTCAGGCCTTTTCTGCAGGAAGGTGCAGTGTAGGGCGTTGCTCCGCGGCAAGCACCTGGCAGAATCTGAAGCTCGTCCAGTTCCACGTGTTGCTGGGTCTTGGGGGTGGGCCCCACAATGCAGGGAGGACCATTCCTGCCCCGCTCTCACTGCCTTTGGTAATCTGCCCTAGGTCAAATTTAATACATTTGGCTAAGCTCTTTTGGGGCTTATTTCTACTTTCAGCTCAGAGTAATAAGGTCTGTAAGCTTATTAACTGTGTGCAATGTGATACTCTTATTTGTTGTAAATGTGCTTCTTTCAAGTTTTAAGGGTCACGGCTAATTCTGCTGCTTTGTGATTTGCCAGATGTGTCTGTAATGGTTCTACCACACATTTCATTCTGTGGGATCTTGGGTTGGACAGGACGTTAGAGGTTTTCTAAGAAATCTCTTCTGCAGCTCTGCAGCAAAGGGCACTTTGGTCTTTGTTTGTTACCTCCAGTGATAGGAAGTTCCCCACCTCCTGGAGCAATCAATTCCATTATTAAAAAGGTCTGCATTTTAGAAACATCTTCTTAACTTTGAGCCCTGAATCTATTTTCTGATAATTTATGTTCTTCCCTAGCTTTTCCTTTTCTTTCTGTATTACTTAGAACAATCATAAACACCTGTTAGATTTTTGAAAGGTTCATTAAATTTTTGAATTTTGATTCAGGAGATTTTTGAGCCACTTAGTTTTGTCATTAAAAACCCGAGAAACAGCTGATGTGGCTCAGTGGATGGAGTGCCAGCCTATGAACCAAAAGTTGACGGTTTGATTCCCAGTCAGGACACATGCCTGGGTTGCAGGCCAGGTCCCTGACTGGGGGTGCGAGAGGCAGCTGATTGGTGTTTCTGTCCCCTGCTTTCTCCTTGCCTTCCCCTCTCTCTGAAAATAAATAAATAAAACCTTTTAAAAAGTTAAATATAGAATATTTAGAAAATATGACAAAAATAAAAAAAAAACACCCTGAAAAACCACGGCAAGCCCGGGGTGAGATGCAGGGCTGCTGGTTCTTCTGTGAAGCTTGTAGGACAGCACCTAGTGGAGGGAGAAGCAGCAAGTGAAGCCGGACAGACTGGGGTGGGGGGGGTAGGGGCTCGGTGGGAGATGGCTCCCCGGAGCCACCTGCATGCTGAGGGGCCAGTTCTCTCCACCTCTGTCATGAACTCCCGACCTTTTGATCAGCCCAGTGGTCTCCAGGCAGCTCCAGAGTTTGTCATCTGATCCTGCCTTCATGTTTTTGTCTTTAAGATGGAACTCTAATTGTTAGTGTGTTCAAATGGTCTCTCTGGTCACTTCCCGCTTCTTCCTCCTCCTGGCCTGGGGCCCTCTCCACGGTGACCCTCAGCGAGGAGCCTTTCTGTTGGTCTTTGCCACCCTTGGGCCAGAGCTGCCTGTGACGCGGTGCAGGGCGCACACAGTGGCTGCCGTCCCTTCCTTCCCGTGACAGCTGAAGGCTCACGTACAGCGCATCCCCCCAGCCTCTCTTCTTCATGCTGTCGAGGTCCCCGCTGAGTTCCTTGAGCATCCTCATAACCAGCGTTTTGCACTCTGCATCTGATAGATTGCTTATCTCCCTTTGTTTAGTTCTTTTTCTGGAGTTTTGATCTGTTCTTTCATTTGGGCCCTTTCTCTTTGTCTCCTCATTTTGGTAGCCTCCCTGTGTTTGTTTCTATGTATTAGGTAGAGCTGCTTTGGCTCCGTGTTCTGATAGCATGGCCTAATGTAGTAGGTGACCTGTAGGGTCCAGTGGCACAGCCTCCTCTGTTCCCCATGCTGGTTCCTCAAGATGTACCCTTCGTGTGGGCTGAGTACACCCTCCTCTTGTAGTTGAGTCTTGGTTGCTTTGGCAGATCAACCGGAGGGATTTACCCAGGCCAGTGAGTGGCAAGGACTGGCTGTGACCACTGACCACCAACCTCTGGCCTCCATGGAGGATCACTATGTGGGAGCAGGGTGGTGGTGCTCCGACATGGTCAGTAGCTGTCCACTGGGTGCGTTGGCTCTGAGATTTCCCGGGTGTTGCAGCCCCCACCTGTGTTTTGCCCAGGGCCACCCTGCCTGAGCTATAAAGAAATCTGAGATGGCCACTACTTGTACTGTATTTGGAGATTCCCAGGCAAAGCCAAGCTGTGAATCTAGGCTGGATGCTGCTGGTGCCAGCCTGGGGCTCACTGAGGCCAGCCATTGCTTGTTTGAGAGGATTTAGGAAGTTGTGAAGCAAGAGCTAAGACCAGCCATTCGTATGGAAAAACCACTTGGGTGGGCCTGTAAGTTGGGTGGGGCAGAACAGTGTCAGCCAGGTTGATGGATTCTCAGATATGGCACCAGTCTGCCAGCTCTGTGGGGGAGGGTTTAGAAAAGGGACAATGGCCTCTGCTCACCTGGATGCCAGACACTTCAGTTTCTCTTTTTATGCCACTGGTGCCTTTCAAGCTGCTACCCCAGTGCTAGAGCTCAGAGGGACTGAGTCTGAGTAAGTCTGTGTGTGGGTTCTTTAAGAAGAACTGTTTGGGGCTCCAGAAGTTTCTTCCACTGACTCAATCCCCACTTGTTTTTATAGCCAGAAGTTGTGGGGACTTATCTTCTTGGAACTGGTACCCTGGGCTGGGGGGCCTGGTGTGGGGCTGGGCCTCCTTGCTCCAGAGATACCCCTCCCAAATTCTTATCCACCACACGTAGGTGTGGGACCAGCCCGTTCCACGTTTGGGCCCCTCCTACCAGTCTGGATGGATGTGGTTTCCTTAACTCTGTAGTTGTCAGACTTTCATTCAACTCAATTTCTGACAGTCCTGAGTGATGGTTGTTCTATATTTTAGTTATAATTTTGATGTGGTTTTGCAAAGAGGTGAGCTATGTCTGCCTATGCCGCCATCTTGACTGGAAGTTCGCCACTTCTTTAACTATTCATCTTCGCCCCACCCCTTCCACCCTTATTTTATTTCATCAGGCATTCCAAAGCATCTCTGTTAACTCTCCTGGTTGGTCTGGCTGAGGAGCAGTCAGGACTTCTTGGTTCAGAACTGTCCCTGAAGGCTCGTGACAGTAACAGTGGGGTTGGATATTATCGTAAAGGCATGACCAGCAGACCCACTGGCCCCCCAGGACAGGAAGTGAGGTATAGCTGGGACTAAGAGTGAGTGTGAGGGGTGTTTCAAGTTCTTTTTAAGTATCTACCTCACTGGTCCACTCCTGCCTGGGAACTTGTGTCCTGGGCGTGTGGGCCACATCTCAGTTCTACACGCCTTCTGTTGGCCTTGGTGCTGACTCCTCTTTCCTACTTTCCACAGCCTCAGAGCACAGGTCCCTACAATGTCTCAGGTCCAACTCCGGATTTCTGGGGAAAAGAATCTGCTTGGCTCATATTAGGTCAGGAGATCACCCTGGGCCAATGATCCGTGCAGGAGCTGGTGGGATCACCTGCAGTCACATACCCTTCCCTTAGAAGGCCGGGAGAAGGGAAGGCAGTGCTCAGCCTTTCCGGTCTGTCACCTGTTGACCTCCCTCCGCTTTGAGAGATCCATTGCTAATCCTTTCCATTTGGAGCAAATCACGGACTTTCCTGCAGAGGCTGTTATGCTAAATCAGCGTGAAAACGAACTGGGGAGAGACCAAATGTGCAGGGCAAGGTGTGGGCGCAAAGTCCATCAGGTGCTGAGGTCCACCTTTCAGCTGCTTTTGTCTGTGTAGCTTCCAGGAGTTCAAGTCCTGTGACCGGTTGGTTATCCTTCACTAGTGCTGCCCCTGGTGTTGGGTTCGTCTGCCCATTTCCTTCTCTATGCAGGACCTGAGGGCCAGAGAGGGGATTTGCCTTGGACCACAGAGCAGCTTGGTGGTGGGGCTGGAATTAGTCACCAGGCCTGCAAAGGTCCTCAAAGAGCCCAAAAGGGGCTTAAACCTTGACCTAGAAATCTTGTTGGGGAATCTATCCTGGGAACTAACAAAACCTGGCACAAACTTGTTCTTTGCAGCATTATTTAGAATACTGACATATAGAGTATTTCTACATTGAAATATTGAATATTGTAAAGAATATAGAAACAATCCAAGCGTCTAAACTTGGGCGAATGGTTAAGTGAGCTCTGCTATATCTACCTGATGGGATCTTCATGTCATCATAAAATATGGCCTTTAGGAAAGACACAAAGTGATGCCTGTGTTTGTCACATCCAAAGTCAGGCTGCAGAATCATACTGACAGTACGACGGCTAAACGAGTCACCCCAGAGAATGCACACACAGTGACTGTGAGTGCCCCCAGGGGCTGTCGTGGGCGACCTCTCTCTTCTGTGCCTTGCAGATGTTTGTAAGAGCATGTGCTGGTGTTTTTATGGCCAAGACCCCCTGTTTTTGTAAGCAATGAAAAGCCTCTGTAGTTTGCACTCAAGTGAACGCCAGACTCGAGATGCTGGAATGCTTCCTTGGTCCCCATTGAGCCTGTTGGATCTTTATCAGGTGAAGATAATGTCTACCTTGCAGGCTGTTGTGTGGGTTAAAGAGAGGTATGACCTGCTCTCAGGTCAGGTGCAAACATTATGGCACATAGTAGGTGCTCAGGAAATGTTAGGTGAACCCCTATGGGCATTGCCCCAGAGAGCAGCCGACCTGGCCGGAAGAGGCAGCTCAGGCTGACCCTGTATCCTCCCTCTGAGCTCGTGTCCTCTGCTGGTGGCCTGCCTGCGCCTCTGCTCCCTGGGGTGGCTCAGCCTCCCCTTTTTTAACCAGAACTACCCCCCGCTTCGCTGGGCCCTCCCCCAACAGGTTTCTGTTTTTTCCATGAGAGGCTTAGGCATACCCGTGGAGGCACCTGCCGGCTGGCGTG